CCCCCCCAAACCATACATTTTCTGAAAGCACATGACCAGTAGAAAAAAAAGAAAGTGCAACTGATTTTTAAGGCCCTGCAATATAAGCCAGATAAAACACCAGTGAGCAGCAGGAGGGGGGACATCCCCTCTTGCCGCTACTGAAAGTGATCCAGTGGCTAATGAGCCACTCAGACCACTCTCATGAGAAAGCCGACTACCACTAAAAGAGAAGGATGCCAGGGTTATGGCTGATATCTTTTTTTTTTAAATTCAAGTACAGTTGAGACCTAAGTTAAATTTGTAATTGTCACAGTCAGTTCAGTTCCACAATCTGATCCAATTCTTAGGTTTGAAAAATTTGGGGCAGCTGAATTCTGAATTATATATTAATTCCATTGCATCCAAAAATATAGAATAGTGTTGATTTATGAATAATGAATCCACCCAAAATATCGAAACTGAAAACGAAGATATACAATCATGGCCAAAAATCTTGTACCCCCTGCATTTTTGTCAGATAATGCATCACTTCACCCAGAAAATTGTTGCAATGACATGTTTCGGCATTCTCATGTTTATTTCTTTTGTTTGTATTGGTATGACACAAAAAAGTGGAGAAACAAAAAGCCAAATCTGACACGTTCCACGCAAAACCCCCCCAAAAATGGACTGGACAAAATTATTGGCACCTTCGCAAAAATGTAATAAATAATTGCATTCCAAGTTAGTGATGCTCCTGTAATTGAACTCACCGGTATCAATTAACAGATCTTAATGTTCCTGTGTCCACTGTGCACAACATTGTCAAGACGTTTATAGCCCATGGCACTGTAGTTAATCTCCCTGGACATGGACAGAGAAAAAATGATCAAAGTTTGCAATGAAGGATTGTTTGAATGGTGGATAAAGATCAACTTCCTGACAAATTCCAGCTGACCTTCAGGCACAAGGTATACCTGTGTCAGCTCGCACTATACGTCACCATCTGAATGAAAAGGGACGCTATGGTAGGTGACCCAGGAGGACCCCACTGCTGACACAAACATAAAAAAGCCAGATTGGAGTTTGCCAAAACTTAGCTGAGGAAGCCAAAATCCTTTTGGGAGAATGTGCTGTGGACACATGAAAACAAAATTCCAGCTTTTTGGTAAAGCTCATCATTCTACTGTTTTCAGAAAAAGCAATGAGGTCTTTAAAGAAAAGAATCCAGTCATTCCAGTCACACATGGTGGGGGGTCACTGATGTTTTGGGGTGCTGCTTCAGGCACCCGATGTCTTGATCATGTACATGGCATTATGAAATCTGAAGACTACCAAAGAATTCTGGGGTGCATTGTAGGGCCAAGTGTCAGAAAGTTGGGTCTCCATCAGAGGTCATGGGTCTTACAGCAGGACAATGACCCAAAGCTCAAAAAGCCCCCAGAAATGGTTTCAGACAAAGCGCTGGAGAGGACTGAATTGGCCAGTAATGAGTCCAGATCTCAATCCCATAGAGCTCCTGTGGAGAGATCTCAGAATAGCAGTTGGTAAAAAGGAACCCTTCCAATCTGAGAGACCTGGAGCAGTTGGAGAAAGAAGAGCGCTCCAAAATTCAAGTAGAGAGGTGGAAGAAACTCATTGATGGTTACAGGAAGCCATTGATTTCGGGTAGTTTTTCCAAGGGGTGTGCTACCAAATATTAAATTGAGGGTGCCAATCATTTTGTCCAGTCCATTTTTGGGGTTTTGCGTGGAATTAGAAATATAAAATAGATTTAGAAATATAAATTAATTGCATTTTGGAGGGTTTGAACCAATGACTGCAATATTCTTTTTGAGGATTCATGACACAATTCAGACCAATCGGTAAAGAATGTACTCACATGACTTGATATGGGTTTTTTTTTTTTTATATTGTTATTGTTTTATTACAGACATTGTGAAAAAAAAAAAAAAAAAAAAAAGACACGTGCATTAAAACAATCAAACTGACTAGAACTAATTGCTCAACTTCGTCAGATGTAAGGTAATAGTCACAACCCCTTGAAATGTGTCTCTAATAGTAATACTGTGTCAAGAATATCGAAAACTGAAGTCTTAGTTAGTCAAAAACACCAAATAAAAACTTCCCAGCTCACTTACCGGCCAGCCTGCAACAAACCCAATTGTCCTGTCTGACAGTTCAATTTTAAAAATTTCTATACAGATATTAGAGCAGAGAAAAAAGAAAAACTATTGGAGATGGAAAAATTCAGCCATCCACCATGAAAGGCTGCCATCAATCACTCCATATTCTGAGAATCCCGTTTGCTTGGCTGTCATGCCAACTCTGGCTTCAAAAATGTAAAACTCTGATCTTCGTCAAGCATTTAAATACGACTTCATGCCAACTTCCCAGTCCTGTATACTTCTTCCAGGCCAGTGATTGAAAACTGAATGCCAGTGGAGTCAGCGTAACAGCCAGGCAACAAGAATTTTTAGAAAGTGGTGACGAACCCATAAGGCCTTCACACATCTGTCCATCTTTCATCTATCCATTGACGGACGAAAAATGGACCTCAATGCATTTCTATGCAAAAAAAAAAAAAATGTTGTAAATGGATGATTATCCCTTTACATCCGCCAACATTTGTTTTTTGGAAACAGATCAAAGCCCTACTTTTGTTTCGTAAATCAAAAAGGAAAGGACAAAAAACAGATGTAAAAAACGGACAAATAGTCCATTTTTGCATCCATTTTTGCATTGGTAGTGGATGGAAAAAATGATGGAAAAGCCAATGAAAACTTCACCCGCTGGACTGATGAAGCCAAACGGTCTGCATGTATGAAAAGGGGCCTAATTGTCTCATTGCAGGTTTACCTTTAGGTTGGTTTCACATTGATCCATTTTTCTTCTGCTTTTGCGTGTAAAAAAAAAAAAAAAAAAAAAGCAGAAGAAAAATGTGTGTAAAAAAAAAAAAAAAAGACCAAAAAACCTCCCTACTGAAATCAATAGAAAATGTGGCAAAAATGCATCAAAAACACACCCATGATGCATTTTTGGTGCGGTTTTTGAATCACGTCCTGTAAAAATACACAGCAAACGTGGTAAAAGCACAGATGCGTTTTTGCAAGGATCAGTGTGAAACCAACCTTTAGGGCACTTTCACGCTGACCCGTAGTAAAAACGCAGCTTTGAAGCCATTGGTCCACATGTATGAAAAGAGGCCGGAGGTAACTTTGCACTATAGGCCTGTTAAGGCCCTCTTGGGGGAAAAAGTAAATATATACTTGCCTTTCCTCCAGCTTCCCCTCCCCACGGCATTTGAGCGAAGGCTACATCATCATCCTTCCAATGTGATCCTGGGAAATGCAGAATATCCCTTGCTAGAGGACACTCCAGTGGAGCATCTTCTCACAAGATTTGAGCAACCTAATGTTCTCCAGGATCTTGCAGGAAGAATGGGGACATCACCCCATGCAGTATTTAAGCTAGGCGTTAGGTAAGTATATTGCGATCCTGGGAAATGCAGAATATTCCAAAACTTGCAGGAGGACACTCCAGTGGAGCATCTTCTCACAAGATTTGAGCAACCTAACGTTCTCCAGGATCTTGCAGTAAAAGAATAGGGGACATCACCCCGTGCAGTATGTAAGCTAGGCTTTGGGTAAGTATATTGAACTTTTTTCCTGCAGAATTTGCAGCGAATTGCTAGAGGAAACAGTGTGGAACATCTCACAAGATTTGAGCCCTAACGTTCTCCAGGATCTTGCAGGGAAAGGGGACATCACCCCGTGCAGTATTAAGCTAGGCTTTGGGTAAGTATATTGAATATACCTTGCAGAATTTTAACTTTCCCCTCTTGGGGGAAAAAGTTAGTAAATATATACTTGCCAACCTCCAGCTTCCCCCCACGCCATTTGAGCGAAGGGGACATCACCGTCCTTCCAACGCGATCTTGGGAAATGCAGAATATCCCTTGCTAGAGGACACTCCAGTGGAGCATGTTCTCACAAGATTTGAGCAACCCAATGTTCTCCAGGATCTTGCAGGAAGAAAGGGGACATCACCCCGTGCAGTATGTAAGCTAGGCTTTAGGTAAGTATATTGTGATCCTGGGAAATGCAGGATATCCCAAAACTTGCTAGAGGACACTCCAGTGGAACATCTCACAAGATTTGAGCAGCCTAACATTCTCCAGGATCTTGCAGGAAGAAAGGGGACATCACCCCGTGCAGTATTTTAGAATGGTTCCCCCTCTTGGGGAAAAAAGTTAGTAAATATATACTTGCCTTTCCTCCAGCTTCCTCCACAACATTTGAGCAAAGGTGACATCACCATCCTTTCAACGTGATCCTAGGAAATGCAGAATATCCCAAAACTTGCAGGAGGACACTCCAGTGGAGCATGTTCTTACAAGATTTGAGCAACCTAACGTTCTCCAGGATCTTGCAGGGAAGAAGGGGACATCACCCCGTGCAGTATGTAATTTAGGCTTTAGGTAAGTATATTGTGATCCTGGGAAATGCAGGATATCCCAAAACTTGCTAGAGGACACTCCAGTGGAACATCTCACAAGATTTGAGCAGCCTAACGTTCTCCAGGATCTTGCAGGAAGAATAGGGGACATCACCCCGTGCAGTATTTTAGAATGGTTCCCCCTCTTGGGGAAAAAAGTTAGTAAATATATACTTGCCTTTCCTCCAGCTTCCTCCACAACATTTGAGCAAAGGTGACATCACCATCCTTTCAACGTGATCCTAGGAAATGCAGAATATCCCAAAACTTGCAGGAGGACACTCCAGTGGAGCATGTTCTTACAAGATTTGAGCAACCTAACGTTCTCCAGGATCTTGCAGAAAGAAAGGGGACATCACCCCGTGCAGTATGTAAGCTAGGCTTTGGGTAAGTATATTGAAGAACTTTTTTACCTACAGTGTTTCTGGACTTTTCTGCAGAATTTTAGCATGGTTGAGCGTCTGCAAATAAGTGGACCTTCACTTCCAAGACCCCCTATCAAAGACCTGTCCAGTCCCCACCAAAATACCAAATCCACAGTCTCACACGTCAAAGGTTTCATACTCAATACTATAATCATTTAATGCCATGGCATCCTGCCATTCCACAGCACCAGGTCCGTTGAAATACTCCAGATACTTCAGCCTGTTGAGCTTGGCACTGGCTTCAGGTTTCTGCGCCTCCATGTATTGCAATGATACAAGTCCTGCACTTTCAGTACGCCAGTCGCCAGGAATGAATGTTGCATCTTCTGTGACTTCCCGGTCCAGCAAGCTTATAGGGGAGTATTCGTCAGTGTTGCTCCGCCGCAGAAAATTGTGGAGAAGACAACAAGCCATGACAACCAGTTCAATTTTGTGTGGCGATAAATTGATGGTTGTGCGGAAGATCCTGAAGCGGTTTGCAAGCAGGCCAAAGGCGTTTTCTGCCACACGTCTTGCTCTGGCCAGGCGGTAATTGAAGACCTTTCGTTCTTTGGTTAAGGCTTCCTGTGAATAAGGCCTAAGAATGTGGTCTTGTAAGGAAAAGGCCTCATCGGTCACAAAAGCAAAGTTAAGGCCCTCTTTTGTCTCGTCATTTTCTGGCAATTTTAACTGTTTTTCCTTCAGCTTTTCATAAAAATGAGTTTGCTCGATGACTGTGCCATCTGAGAACTTTCCATTTTTGCCGACATCGACCATTATGAACTCGCAGTTGGCGTTGATGATGGCTATGATTATGATGCTGAAAAACCCTTTGTAGTTGTAGTAGAGTGACCCACTGTGATGAGGGGGGTTGATGCGCACATGCCTCCCATCTATCGCTCCACCGCAGTTTGGAAAGTTCCACATTTCTTCAAACTGGCTAGAAATGAATTGCCAATCTTCAGAGCTGGTAGGGAACTAGAAAAAAAAAAAGGAAAAATATTTCACAGTGTAACAGATTTCAACAAACGTCATTTACCACCATGTACAGCATATACAAACAAAAAGTGGTCATAGCCAGGGACTTTTTGAGGAACATATAGATGAGAAGAGACCACCACACCATGACACCCCCACCACCAGCCTGAACCATTGATACAAGGCAGGATGGATCCTCCACACCATGACACCACCACCACCAGCCTGAACCATTGATACAAGGCAGGATGGATCCACCACACCATGACACCACCACCACCTGAACCATTAATACAAGGCAAGATGGATCCACCACACCATGACACCACCACCACCAGCCTGAACCATTGATACAAGGCAGGATGGATCCACCACACCATGACACCCCCACCACCAGCCTGAACCATTGATACAAGGCAGGATGGATCCTCCACACCATGACACCACCACCACCTGAACCATTAATACAAGGCAAGATGGATCCACCACACCATGACACCCCCACCACCAGCCTGAACCATTGATACAAGGCAGGATGGATCCACCACACCATGACACCCCCACCACCAGCCTGAACCATTGATACAAGGCAGGATGGATCCACCACACCATGACACCCCCACCACCAGCCTGAACCATTGATACAAGGCAGGATGGATCCTCCACACCATGACACCACCACCACCAGCCTGAACCATTGATACAAGGCAGGATGGATCCACCACACCATGACACCACCACCACCTGAACCATTAATACAAGGCAAGATGGATCCACCACACCATGACACCACCACCACCAGCCTGAACCATTGATACAAGGCAGGATGGATCCACCACACCATGACACCCCCACCACCAGCCTGAACCATTGATACAAGGCAGGATGGATCCTCCACACCATGACACCACACCACCAGCCTGAACCATTAATACAAGGCAAGATGGATCCACCACACCATGACACCACCACAACCTGAACCATTGATACAAGGCAAGATGGACCCACCACACCATGACACCACCACCACAAGCCTGAACCATTGATACAAGGCAGGATGGATCCTCCACACCATGACACCACCACCACCTGAACCATTAATACAAGGCAGGATGGATCCATGCTTTCATGTTGTTTTTGCCAAATTCTGACCCTACCATCTGAATGTCACAGCAACCAGTCTGCCCATTCTCCTCTGACATCAATAAGGCATTCTCCTACACACAACTGCCGCTCAACTGGATATTTTCTCTTTTTCGGACCATTCTCTTTAATCCCTAGAGATGGTTTGTGCGTGAAAATCCGAGTAGATCAGCAGTTTCTGAAATACTTAGACCAGCCAGTCTGGCCCCAACAACAATACCACGTTCAAAGTCACTTAAATCCCCTTTCTTCCCCATTCTGACGCTCAGTTTGATCTTCAGCAAATCACGTTCAACACGTCTACATGGCTAAATGCATTGAGTTGCTGCAATGTGGTTGGCTGATTAGAAATTTGTGTTACCAAGCAATTGAACAGGTGTCCCTAATAAAGTGGACGGTGAGTGCATATAAAAAAAAATAAAATATTATTGGAACATTCAGTAAAACAGTAAAAGCACAAAACACAAACCAAACATTAAGATATTGAAAAAAGGGTTCAGTTGTTTAGTTCCAATACACTGCACATGAAGACTCAACGCGTTTCGATGGATACATCTTCTTCAAGAGTACATGTGAATGATCTTTAAGAGATATAACATATAATATGGACATGTTCTAGTTGTAAACACGCATATAATTATACTTCTCTCCCCCCACATGGGAAAGAGATGACATACACTTTTTTTTAGAATTCCAGTGATTGGGCAGCACAGTGGCTAAATGGTTAGCTTGTCTGCCTGGCAGTACTAGGATCGCTGGTTCGAATCCCAACCACGGCACCACCTGCCTGGAGTTTGCATGTTCCCCTTGTGCCTGCGTGGGTTTCCTCCGGTTTCCTTCCACACTCCAAAGACATGCTGATCGGTTTATTGGCTCCTGTCTAAATTGGCCCTAGTATGTGTATGTGAGTTAGGGACCTTATATTGTACGCCCCTTGAGGGTTAGGGACTGATGTGAATGTACAATATATATGTAAAGCGCTACGTAAATTGACGACACTATATAAGTACCTGAAATAAATAAAATTATATGGTTTTATCACAATAAGAATTATGGGTTTCACCATGCTGGTATGAATATATATTGTTTCTTAGGATATGCTTGTATAATTATATGAGTGCTTCCAACTAGAACGTGTCTATAATAAGTCAAAAGTATTGGCCCCGCCCTCCAAATCATGTGATTCAGGTGTTCCAATCCCCTCCATGGACACAGTTGTATAAAATCAAGCCCCTAGGCATGCAGACTGCTTCTACAAACATTGGTGAAAGAATGGGTCGCTCTCAGGAGCTCAGTGACTCCAAGCGTGGTCCCGTGATAGGTTGTCACCTGTGTAATAAGTCCATCCGTGACATTTCCTGGCTACTAAATATTCCACGCTCAACTGCTAGTGGGATTATAACAAAGTGGAAGCAACTGGGAACAACAGCAACTCAGCCATCAAGTGGTAGGCCACGTAAAATGATAGAGCGGGGTCAGCGCATGCTGAAGCGCACAGTGCGTAGAAGTCGCCAACTGTCTGCAGAGTCAACAGCTAAAGACCTCCAAACTTGGTGTGGACCTTAGATGAGCCCAACAACAGTGTGTAGAGAGCTTCATGGAATGGGTTTCCATGGCCGAGCAGCTGCATGCAAGCCTTACATCACCAAGTGCAATGCAAAGCGTCGGATGCCGTGGTGTAAAGCACGCCGCCACTGGACTCTAGAGCAGTGGAGACGTGTTCTCTGGAGTGACCAATCATGCTTCTCTGCCTGGCAATCCGATGGACGTGTCTAGGTTTGGCAGTTGCCAAGGGAACAGTACTTGCCTGACTGCATTGTGCCAGGTGTAAAGTTTGGTGGAGGGGGGATTATGGTGTGAGGTTGTTTTTCAGGGGTTGGGCTTGGCCCCCTAGTTCCAGTGAAGGGAACTCTTAAGCCATCAGCATACCAAGATATTTTGCACAATTTCATGCTCCCACTTTGTGGGAAGAGTTTGGGGATGGCCCCTTCCTGTTCCAACATGACTGCACACCAGTGCACAAAGTAAGGTCCATAAAGACATGGAGGAGCCAGTTTGGGGTGGAGGAACTTGACTGGCCTGCACAGAGTCCTGACCTCAACCCCATAGAACCCCTTTCGGATGAATTAGAGTGGAAACTGTGAGCCAGGCCTCCTCCCCCGACATCAGTGCCTGACCTCACAAATGTGCTTCTGGAAGAATGGTCCAACCTTCCCATAGACACCCTCCTAAACCTTGTGGACGGCCTTCCCAGAAGCGTTGAAGCTGTTATAGCTGCAAAGGGCGGGGCCAACTCAATATTGAACCCTACGGACTAAGACTGGGAGGCCATTAAAGGTCATGTGCGTGGAAAGGCAGGCCAACCAATACTTTTGGCAATATAGTGTAAGTCAGCCTGACAATCTCAGTAGAAGACAATTTTGTATAGTCAATAGTCATCATTCTGATGTTCTAGTGTCTGCAAACATTGCTGCTGGCATGCACATTACCGGAAGTAACGAAGACTCCATGATCCCGAATTCATCCTCTCAATGCATTTTGGTTGGGCCTCATGCAGCACCTATAGAGTCCTGAAGAAAATACACCCAAAAAGGCGTAAGAGGTCTGAAGACCAAGTTAGAGATTTACCTATAGCAACAGTCCAAATGGCAGCAGGAATATTTGCAGTAACCTGAACATCAGGAATGATGACTATAAAAAATGAAAGTTTTAAAGACTACACTTAGTCAAACATTTCTTAGAACATCAGCACAAGGGACCGCACTATCAATATGAAGGGTCCCTTGTGCTGATGGCTGCTGCTTTAGTTAAAATCTTCTGTCCTCCGATGGCCCCCTACTGCCACTTTAGTAATACTTCAGTTCTGCGAAGGTTAGTAGAGCCAAGGAACCCAAAAAATGGAAACCCATAACAGGCACCCATCAACGGTGTCAACTATGCCCACCCTTTAACCCCTTCGCTGCCAGAGCCGTTTTTGCACACGTTTAACCCCTTGGCACTGGCGCCTCCCGGCCCTTTAAGGTTTTCAGAAGCTGGGAGGTGGTTCGCGGTGATTCGCTGTCACATGATCGGGAAAGGTCCTAATCGCAAGAGGAGATCGGGACCTTTCCGTGAGTACCGGACATGTGTGCTGGAAGCATGCAGGCGCGCGAGCTCCAAGCACATATGTTTTTTTAATTGCACGCAAATGTGCGGCCGCTCTGTCAAGGCCCAGACGCCGGGAGGCCGCAATGTGGCCGGCACCAAGAGGCTTTTTAGGCCTGAAGATTACTGCAGTCATGGCCGAAATTGTTGGCACCCTTGCCTGAAAATCAAGACAAAAAAGGTATTGCATTAACACATGTTTTGCACGTTTATTCCCTTTGTATGTATTGGAACAAATATAAAACAGAGGCAGAAAAGCAAATATGACATAATGTCACACAAAACCCCAAAAATGGGCTGGACAAAAGTATTGGTTTTTGCACACCTTTGGAAAACATAACTGAAATCAGGCTTCCTATAACCATCAATAAGCTTCTGACACCTCTCACCCGGAATTTTGGACCACTCTTCCTTTAAAAAGCTCCAGGTCTCTTTATTGGAAGGACACCTTTCCCCAACAGCAATTTTAAGATCTTCCACAGGTGTTCAATGATATATTTAGATCTGGGCTCATTGCTGGACTCTCCAGCGCTTCTTTGCCATCCATTTCTGAGTGCTTTTTGAGTTATGTTTGGGGTCATTGTCCTGCTGGAAGACCCAGGATCTTGGACGTGCTTTCTGACACTGGGCCCTACTGCGACCCAAAATCCTTTGGTAATCCTCAGATTTCATGATGCCTTGCAGTCAAGGCACCCAGTGCCAGAAGCAAAAAC